TAAAACAAAATATATTTAGAATTTCCGATAAACAGTCTCACACGCTGGAGATAAAAACATTTTATTCATTACAGTGTTACCACGGCTCACTTTTAAACTGTTAGTCTCCTAATCAAAGATTCGTCAAAGTTTTACAAAATATGAAAGAGATTATTAAACAAATTCGAACTTAAATATTCCAGTTTTCAATGTGCATATTCGAGTGGAGGATTACGTTATTCTTAATTTGATGGCTCTAGGTACGGTATTTTAAATAATGCAAGACATATATTCATGAAGATTCTTAATTATTTAATTTCTTTAAATATAATACAGAACGATAATATTTGGTGAAAACAATTTAAAAGTTGATTCGCCGTTTATAGAATCCGCTGTAAAATACCGTTTTGAGACTAGTAGCCCATCTATCCTAGTCCCCTTTAGGGTTTTATATATATAATAATATATATATATATGTATTACATTCGGTTGAACGTCTTTCTCTTACGATACTGAGAAAAATTTAGCCTCTATTTCTAAAAACAGATCAAGTATTTTAAAAATAGGGTTGCATGTTGAAAAGAAGCGGTAATGTAAAACGACTAGAAGAAAGAATAGGATATGCGCTGAAAATTTGGGGAGGGACGATAAGAATGAAAGGCAATGTGCATTGTCATTCTACGTATTATATATGGCACCTTCGATGAAAAAGACTTTTTTTCAGCTATCCAGAAGAGTCAGTACGCCCTAGGCATATATAACTATTATCTGTTCGTATAACTTGGCTCACACTGTAAAACTTAGAACGATGCTAAAGAAAATTCTAAAGTGCAGTTTACATTAAAATTTTTCCAATTTTGATATTACCTGCTAATTGCATTAAAATTAGCTAACTACAGAACACAAGAAATATAGTAAGACTAGAATTCTCTTATTGCAGGTGTCGAGTTTAGTACAGTATGCAAACAAAATGTTTGAATTGGTTTTGTCTAGTTGAACCTTGCTGATAGCGGAATGATAAAATACTTGCCGATAGTTTGATTTAGGTTCGAACATAAGTGAATGGGATGACTGCATTAGAGGGTTTTGTGAAAGTCAGTTTGCCTTAGAAAGCCCTTCACGATGGCAGCCCTGGTATGTTTGCGATAAGTAGCTCTCCTATGTTCTGCAATATCCAAATAGAATAAACTATTTTTTATTGAAAATGAATAAATTACACGTTTTGTTTTGTAAAAAAAAAGTATCTTGTTGAATTTTAGTTTTTTAGAGGAAAGAAGGGAAAAAAAAAAAAAAAAAAAGATTATGTATTTATTTCCTAACTGAGCCAGCCAGCCATGTGAACAAAACTTAATTTTGCTTCTTTTAGTTGAAGTAGGAATATATTGTGCATTTTGGTGAATAAAAAGGGTTTTACACTTTAGTTTTGCTTTAGAATGTCTGTTTTGTAATTTGTTTTACGGAAATTAAAATCTTTAATTTTTGTTGCAAACCCTAAATGGGGAAAACATTCTCTGTACAAAAAAACAGCAGTCACACATGTACGTAATAATAAATAAATATGAGCCTAAAAGGAGGCGAACCTGTTGCTAAGAGTTTCTTAAATATTCAGATAGATTTTGATCATATTATCCCGGGTATTCGTTGAAATTAGTTGAATTTCTGTTGCGAAGCTTACTTCTACTTCAGTGCATGTTTTATATAATTTCTAATATTCGCACTTTGAGCATGTATATTCTTGAACACATAAATATTCTTGAGAAAAACCTAACTGAAAGAAGATGAATCTAATCATGATCATGTCTACACAATTTAATTTTAAAATTCGTTATCATTTGCATTTTTTGAGCGCGAACATAATTGTTTTCTTTTCATATTTCAAAACTTTCACCATTTATACCCTTTAAAAGTAACTGCATATTATTATACTGAAAAATGAAATTTAAGAATGTATAGAATTCTGGGAAATCTTAGTTCATTACATCGAAAACCAAATTATAAATATAAATATTTATAAAAGTTTATGTTTCTGCATTAGGTAACTACACTGAAAGTAACACCGATAAGTTCAATAAAGCGCATCCAGAGCGTTGGCCCATCTGAGAACGAACAATAAAGTCTCTGACACATAATTCGGCTGAGAATTCAAATTTCGGGGAATGAGCTCACTGCGTAGGCATTTTCTATTTTTTTCCCCACTTGCAACATGTATATGAGACATCAGAAATTCCTCCACGAAGACATCCCTACCCTTAGGCAGCTAACTTTCGAGTGCTTTGCCATAGTTAAATTAAATAAAATTAAAAAATAAGTAAGCATTATGAGCATTAGACTAATGTCTCTGTTTAATTCTTTCTATATATATAGAAAGAGAAAGTTATAGAGATAATAAAACCATAAGAATCAATCTGTCAAAATCTGATGCCTTTTTTCATTAATGCTCTTATAATTTTTCAAAGCAGGAATTTCTAAGAGCACCTGTTTATTTGCTCTTAGCCCAGCCAAAAAGAAAATAAGTAGCGGAATAATAAAATTTACAGATATTTTCTTAGAGTTTAAAGAAAACAATATCATTATGGCACAATTAATAAACTCGCGGCTTTTCTTACTCATGGCTATACACAAAAGCGGAAAATTGCATGACAAAAACTTAGACGTCTGTAATTATGGATTAGCAAATAAACAAGTCTTTTATTTCATGTTTAGTTAATTAGTTCAGTTATTATATCAAGTGAATTGTGAAATATTATTTATATCCGTAGCTTCAAATAAACTCTACATCAAAAATACCCGAAGTTGCAAATAAAATAAGAAATTTTCCAAGTTAACAAGATATTTTACTTTATTTAAAAAGTAAACTATCTTGGGAACTATCGAAAATCATATTATTTTAGGAAGAAAGTATTCCTTTTATCCTAGCAAGCAATCGTATATGAGAAATAAATTCAATAACTAAAGTGAAGGGTAATAGAAACACAAAAATATTTTAATATTACTGCCGTATGCACATTGATTTCCATAAAATTTATATACATATATATATAAACACGCACACACACATGTATACATACATAAAAATGAAGGTTTATGAACGGAAAAAAAAATTAAAACATTTACATTTTTTTTCTTTTTAAGTCTTGATTTTCAAGTTTCCTCAAAATTTTCATTTGATAACAAAATCCATAGCATAAAGCGAACAGTTACTGTTACAAGGTCAGATCGCTTTCGAAGCATTCTACTTCTTGAAAACTCCCGAAAGGCAAAGTTCTGACAGTGATTGATACTTCTAGACCCTATATGGGTCATATACACTAACGAGTTAATCTGGATGATTCTCTGCAGGTGTGTGTGGGGGGTAAAGAAAACTGCTTAACGCTTTCAGTGGATACAGTGACAGAAAGCTTCCACGCTTTTGAAAAGCTTTGATGCCAAAGCTGCTGACGCTTTACAAAACAATACCTTATCTCTTTCAAAACACTCGGAGTGTTAAAGAAATTATGTTTTAGTTCTGGTTTCACCAACAGATGGCACCACTTGCTTACTCTTGTCCAGGCTTTCTTATCTTATCTAATCATTATTTCCTATCTTGTTCATTTGCGGTTTTGCAGCTGAGGATGGTGGTTTGGTAAAACCATCAAAACTAGTCCTGTGAAAATTTTGAAAATATAACGCTGATTTTTGTCGTCTGACTTCTGAATCAGATTTGTATTAAATAAAATAACATGCCAAAAGACAATGTTGCACATGTTGAACAACAAGAATCAACATAAATTGCATAAATTTACAGGACTAGTTTCATCATTTCACTCCTACAGCCAAAAAGAAAGTTTTACTCAAACCTTTGAAACTAGTCCTGCAAATTTATGCAACTTATGCTGATTCTTGCTACTAATCCAAATCCAAATTGTGTCACTAAACACTGCAATTTATTGGAAATAATGGATAAGTGCAGTGTCACAGCACACAATAAGAACTTTCCTTTTGTTTTATGCAAGCCATGATATTTATTAAGCTAGGTTGGGTTTTGTGTGAAAATTATAAGTGCTTTCCTCTTGCATTTTTTCCCCAAATAATTAAAATTTGGCACCTGCCTTCAACACAACAGCAAGCAGTGGAGTATTTTAAAAGTTGTAGGATTGGCTAGATTGGCCTAAAAGACTGTGGAGTTTATCAAGTTATTGCAGCAAAAGACATCTATGAACAGCATAATGTTGCTTAGTCATATCAACGTGAATTAAGTGGTACCCAGTTCATAAAAAAAAAAATCACCATATTGTTGTTTTTATACTCCATTTTGGATTTTTGACTAGTTCTAATTTAATAAAATTTCTTTTGTCAGATAATCTCAAAGCTTGAGCACATAGTTAATTAAATTTTTTATGCCACATTTGTAACTTTTATACATTGGTTATTTAATTAAATAAACAATGATCTGTTATTACCTAACTAAAGAGTAATCTGTTCCTTGAAACTTCCACTGAAATGGCTGTCTTAATTTTAGTGGGAGCTCCACCAAATTTCACGGTCAGTGGGAAAACATGTAAGTACCAAATTCTGCTGTCATTAACTACTTTCATCCCTAGAATGCTAATTAATTTAACATATAAATAAGCTTCTAATAGTTGAGTGTATCAAAGAGCATTTAACAGCATAAGCTGGCCATCACTGCACTTTAGAATTTTTATGCATATTTACCCACAAGTTAAACACAGGTCTAATCCTGTTAATGTTTTCTAGTTTTGTAATATCAGGTCAATTTGCTAACAAATACTTTTATTTGATCTTAAGAAGCATCACAACTACATTAAGTTAGACAGGATGGAAAGTGTTTTGACAGCCTTCTTCACTTACTCAGTAGTTAAATGTCCTTTAAATAGGTTAACGCAACCACTTAATTTCTTAAAATGGGAAAATGCTCTAACTTAGATATTGTATTATTTAATGAACTGATATGAATGTTCATAATGGCATAACAAAGAAATAAACACTGAACTGAGATAGCAACAAAATTCCAAAAACAAAACCTTATTGTTAGGTTGAGCTGCTGTCACATTAAATACATTTTCAAAGGGATCTCCACCAAACGGATCGACAGTAGAAACAGAGCTATCCTTAAATGGATCTGTAATATAAATTACAAAAGCATTTAAGACAAAATGCATTGAAATAACAATAATTCAAACTACTATAAATTCTGATACATAATTTCATTACTAAATAACAAGATTTCGATAAGTTATCAATAACAGAAAACTAGCCTGATTTAAATGGATCTTCTCCGGCAAATGGATCATTTACAAATCCATTTATTTTACCCTCAAATGGATCTTTACTTTTAAATGGATCTTCCTGCAAGAATATAAAATGAATCATGCTTTATAGGAAAAATTACATATTCAGAAATGAAAAAGCTGCAAACTACTATGCACATGTACCTGAAAATCCCCAACAGGTACAACACTAGGAGTAACTTCATTTTCAATTACTGCTTTGGGAACCTTATTTGTAAAATGATGAAAATAATCAACATAAGAAATTGCTAAGCAAATCATAAAGTACTTCATTAGGCATACTATTATGATTACGGCTACATATTAATAAGAGTACTTACAGTGGGAGACAAATTTATAACATCCGCTTCATTAAGAGGTTGAAAACCATTCAAAGTAAATTCAGATACATTACGAAAATCTCCAAAGGATATAGCATTATCCATATCTTTGATTGCTTCACTCATCAACCTATGCTGCTCTTGTATCTGATCTATTTTCAATTTCAACTGAAAGAATGAGCATAGTAAAGAAACTATTTATATTTTACTTTTTACTGTAAAGAACAAAAGTAAAAATAAATAACTCACTTGACTGATTTGTAATATAGTATTCTGTAAAGTAGTAGTTAAGGCATCTAGTTGAGCTTTTCCAGCACTTATCTGACTTTCAAGTTTCGATTCTTCTTGTCTTAACTCATTTAGTTCTTTGCGTTTATTATTTAGCTCTTGCTCTTGTGCCTAGAAAAGAAAAATGAAATTGTATTATTAAATTAAAATATATTTATAATTATAAATGAAACAAGCATTTCTAACACACACTAACCTCTAGCTCTGATTCTTGTTCTTCTTTTTGCTTTTTCATAGCGTCAATCTATAAAATAAATAAATTTTAGAGTATATTATTTATGCATATAATTATAAATCTAAGCTTATACAAAATAAGATGTCAAGTACCCAAATTGTAAATCTAATTGATATCAGGAAGATATAAATTATGCATACAGGAGGGAAAAAATCAATCAATATATCATATAAACTGTCTACCGTTTTAGAGAAAAAGCTATAATCTTTATCAGCTGGGTATGCAAGCATTGTCAAATAAAAAACCAACAATGATGATGACGATTTTTGTCATTAAAACGTTGCATTAGAAAGGTGACTCACCATCATTGCTCAATTTATGGTAGCAAATCAAGTAGTGGCTGAGAGGTGCTTGTAATTATTTTTTTGACATGGCCAAGAAATTTTATTAATAAAAATATTATGCAAAAGAAAGAATGGAAAAAGAGGTATCTTTTAATATTATTGTCTGAAGATGATTACAGTGAATTTATTTTAACCTTAGGTATTGAGGAAAATTGAATTACTTTCAACTCTTAGTAAATTTTGGGATAACATATTTTTTATTAAATTACACATTGGAAACTTAGGTACATTTAAAAGAATTGATTGCTAATAAGAGATGTACATTGAGGGGTAAAAATCATGTTATGTCACTAAGTGAAATCCTAAAATTCATGCAGATTTAGTGATAATCCAGTAATTTAATACATTAAGCAAAATAGCTGAAATGATTCTTAATGTCATTTCTCGAGTTGTTGCAAGACACTAATTGCTAATTCAGATTTAAGTGCAAAGGATTAGATAGAAACTATAATGGAAAAAAAAAAAAAAAAAAAAAAAAAAAAAAAAAAATCTGAGTACACAATAAAAACATCAAACACCAATAAAATCCTAATACATGATTACATAATTCAAAGGATAACTCACTGTGTTTAGCATAATAATAAAACTAGAAATTTCAAGGGCTCACCAGAAAGAAAAAATATGCATTAAAAAGTTATTAAATTACAATAAAAAATTTCAAAGCTTTTACTTGTGGAATTCTCGTGAAGCATGTCTAAATAACAAGTTTCAAAGAGAAAAACTATACATTTAATAACTAATTAGCGCTAAATGTCTTGAAATAGTTCAAAATACCTTGAATTTAAAATCAACAGAAGGCAAGGAAAAATTATTCAAGTCGATTTATTTATTTATTTGAATATTTTCCCAAATTCTACATGTAAAGTTATGGAACTTTTGTTTGCAAATCTTTAACATAATGAATACTTTATTATTGAAAATTTTTATGGGAACTATATAAAAAAATTAAATTTTACACTCAAGAGAATTCTCCTACCTACACTGTTGAAATATCTTCATAAAATTCTCTGCATTTTTCTATGAAAATCTGCAACTGGGAGAACATCTCTGGGTTCAAAATTTAAGGAAATAAAGACTGTAACTTTTATTGAATATCGCATATACCAGCAGTTCTCAAACTTTTCCGAGTCACAGTGCCTATTTTCAACTGAAATCTTCCATGGCATCTTACCTTAAGTAGAATTATATATAATTGTAAGAAAGAGATAAAAATAAATAAAACTCATATATCTTCTATGCGATTAACACTTTTTTTTTACTTTATTAATAGTAAATTAATAATTAATATGATGGATAAGACTGCAGATCACTGTACATTTTCTCAAACTGTGGAATTAATCTGGACACAGCCATCTAACTTACTTCTCCACACTGATTTTTACTCTATACCTGCTTTTTATAACAGGGACCATCGAAAACCCAGCCTCACACAAATACGACGTCGAAAATGTAATTAAAATCTGCTGAGCCTTATCGCATAGAAAAGAATATTCGCCTTTTATCAAAACCTGAAATTCCATGAGTTTGAAATCTGCCAAATTTTGCTTTAACATTGGCATTAAAGAAAATTCGATAACATTCTCTTCTTCCTCAGCCATAAATTCAGACAAAGCACTAGTGTTAAATGGATCTTGATCTGTCTTCAAACATGGTTTTTATATCTTAAAAAAGATCAAGTTCATTTCACTTCAAAAATTGTTACGATATTAAAAAAAAACTTTGCCTGTATCTTCATTCAATTTTCTTCTCTATAGTTTTTATTTATTTATTTTTTTAAGCTGATATTTCTTCTGTTGACTTTAAAAGTTGCATATTTTTTCCCAGTAGAGAGAGAAATTAAGGGAGGTTCAGCTTTTCAAAAATGTTGCATAAATAAGAGAGTTATATAAGACAGGTCTACGCACATCAGCATGTCTATATTAAGAGTCAACCGAAGTTGAGAACACTTATAGTAGTAGTGTATGCATCCACCATAGACTATAATTCTATATTTTGAGATGTCATAGTATAAAAATTACGCTATGAAATACGAGTATTGTTGAGCAAAGAGAATATAATGAAAAAATATATGAAACAACAGACTGTGTTGCATTTAATTTTATTATTAAAAAATTGGCTAATATGATGTCAGTCATTCAATGACCAACAGAAATGCATCCCCCTTTTTAGCATTATTTGCAAAACTGCAAATTCCAGCAATCTCAATCTGACCGCACTCTCAATGAGAAAAGCAATTAAAGCATTCACTCAATTTACTGACCAGGAGAAGAAGAAAACAATTGTTATGGTGTCTGCTTCATCATGACATATATATACAATTTCAAAACCTCATAAGATTGGAAAACCACTATGCAGTTCAGCTAATATTATTGTTATGAACGTTTTTTGTCAAATTATGAGAGTATTTTCTTATAAATCCTAAATGAAACTAACTCTAGCTGCTGATTTCAGTGGTGTTTCTGAGAGAAAAAAAAAAAAAAACTTTTGAAATACGGTACATGCAAACCTGAATCAGAATGACCTAATTTTTAGCAATAATACAAAGAAAAGTTCACGGTTTCTTTTTATGCAATGAGCCATGAAACAACATGAAAAGGTCATTACAGCCTCGTATATGTTCTCAGATTAGATTATCGTGAGATACACCATCATTATATGGCGCAATCAAGAAGGTAACAGTGTTGCCGGCTTACATTTGCAAGAATATTTTGTGCTGGTGACTTTACTTTTTTACAGGGTCAAGAAAAGCATACCACACATACGAAAAAAAAAATTCTTGCATTTTGTTCAGTTAGGCCAATTATCTACATTCATTTAATTGTGAAGCTTTTAAAAATTTTCACAATGTTCCTGTGGATAGGCCATGGGCTCTCCAGGCACCATGGCACACGGTTTTGTGAACTTCTGCTATATGCAACTATCATATTATGTGGTATTATCTCACTCTATCTATATATACCGTATTTACCAAAGTTCTTACCTGGTTTTCAGTTTTGAAACCATTGGTCTAGTTACAAAAGTATTTTAAATGATGCAAAGATTTATGTTTTTGTATTCGTAAATTAAAATATTAATTTTGTAGAAAATATGAAATCTAACTTTTTAGAAGTTCCTATGATCCATTCTACTTATGAAAATACTGTGCTCATTATAAAAAATAAAACATAAAAAGTTTGACTTCCAGATGATAAAAATTGGCTGAGATATGTAATTCCAAAATTTGCAATAGCTGGACTCATTTTTAATTTGCATTGAGGGGTTATTAAATAAGTAAATTAGGATAATTCAGAGCTGATGCTTTACCCTTAAATGCTATTTATTCAATTATATTCTTTTGTGATTTACTAGCGCCTTAGAAATCTGATATGGTAATTATTAGTTACAGCAATTGGTTAATTTCATATGCCAAAAGAATTCTCACACGAGTAATTTATAAGTTTTCAAGTCTAAAATTACATTTAATTAGAAATTAATTAAAATTTTATTACTTTAAAATCATAATATGATAATTATAAAAAGTTCATTACAGTACAAATAATTTTCATTTTTAACTAATGCTAATAAAATTCCAAGTTGGCTATGTGCCAACACTGAAGCCTGCTAGTTTTTTCTAGAAATGAATTTTCGAAGATTTCGTAAATTAAATTTGTTTTTTTTTACTGGGGGGGGGAGGAGAAAAAGGATCAATATTTTTCACAATAATCTGCATAGAAATGTTTGTCATGTAATCTCTTAACATCACAAACCTTTATTTTTAGTTACATATAAATGCAAACATTTTGCTTTTTAATTTGTGTAAAATCCTGAATATGATTCCCAATTTTTATATTAAATATATTGGTCATTTTTGTCATACAACAGTAAAACTTTTTATGCATTACTTTGTATAACAAGTAGAATATTTTCCTAGGTACAAGGACTGGAGAAACATGTAAAAAGTTAGATTTCACACTTTTTACAAGATTGATTTCAAATTATTTTAAAATGCCAAAATATGAATCTGTGCATTATTTAAAACACTTTTGTAATTGGAAGTATATACCAATGGCCAACAGTTGCAAAAATAAAGGTAAAAATAAGGACTTATGTGGCAGATAGCATAACAAGATTACTTAAATCATCTCTCTGACAAATAACTACTATATGACTATTTAAAACAATGATGTTCATACTTCAGTTTCAAAGAACATTAAAGTGGCTCACATCATACAATCCAAAAATTAACAAAAAGGACATGTATGCACAAAATGCTGAATTTGAAAATAAGAACTGGTTGAATAATTTTTAAGATGATATAACTTCAGTGAACATCTCTAAGGTCAAAAGAAACTAATAAATGTTGCTTAGAAGGAAGAGTGCATTTAAAACTATGGCAACCTCACACTAACAAGCAATAACTTAATTCACCAAAAAGTATGTAACACTGACATTTTTTCAAAAGACTGAGAGTTCAAGATTGAAATAACCGAGATTTCAAGATTTTAGAATACACAAATGCATTTTACTATATCTATTATTCCATTTTTAGATAAGGGCACATTTACTGACAACCTTTGCAAATGAAGCTTCTACAGCTGCAATTAAATAACTAAAGAAAGTTTATTTAACTGAACTTCAACTATTTGAAGAAAAATCTCCAGTGCTTCACAAACACTGGCTAGTCAT